CACCCAGGATGCTCTGTCGCTCTGCCGCCAAGGCCGCTAGGCTCCGCCCTCACCACGTCACCTGCCGGGGATCGCGACAGGGCGCGCTGCCGGGACGGGGCTCAGTGCCATCGCTGCTGACCGGGTCGCGCCGGGACTCCAGAGGTTGCAGCGGCCTCAGGCGGTCCCAGCCTTGCTGCCCAGTCGTTGGCCGCCCTGGGCCCAGGACCCTCGTCCTGGATGTTCATTTCGGATCCTACACAGGGCCTCCACCTGGGGATGCTCCTGCGCAGAGCTCTAAAGGGCCCCCACATGTTTCCATCTGGGTTTTGGCCAGCCCCACGCTAGGAAGACCCTAGGTAGTTTACACAAGGAACTCCATCCTCCACACCCAGGTCACAACTGGCCAGCCCTCTCCCACCTACCCAGGAAGAAAAACAACCCTAGGACTTGTCCTCCCATGCTCAGCTCGGTCTCAAATCCACTGAGGCCCGCAGAACAGACGTGGGCTTCCTTAGCCAACCTCAGGCCTCCCTGGGGCTCTGTCCTCTTTTTGTCTGACCCTGAAGACACCCTCTTGGGAGAGCTGTGCCCTCCAACCTGTCCTCTTCCCCTCCTTCTAGTTCCTCCTCTATTAGGGCTTCTTTTCCGCTGGTACCTCTCAGACCTTGTCTAGGCCTCCTGATCTTATGGCCCCGCTGCCCAGCCTCAGTGTCCTGTCCACATCTCACACTTACTCTCTCCTGGGCCACACAGTCATTTCTCCCACCTTGTGCCCACAACTGTACACCCTCTGGCTCCAGACCATACCAAACTCTTGCTTCTCTCTACCCAACAGCCCAACCAGGGCGGCCCCAGGACTCTTCCTTCTTCTCTCCAAGGCCTGCATCCCATGTTTTCCTTCTCCCCAGCTACAACAGCCTCTCAATCCTTATCCTGTGCCCTCTCATTCTCCTGGGGGTAGCATGTGCTGCTAAAATATACAGACTGGAATGACTTCATCATATTTCCTGTGTCTAAAAACCGTTCTACACTATAGGCCTGGGATGACAATCTTTGAGGAATCCTCACTGGTGCTGCCCTTGATGCTTTAGTATAAATGAATGTGTGTGCTTATTTGGGTTAGAGTAGTCTGATCCTTTATCTTCTCGACTGATTCCTCCAGTCTCTGGCCAGGCAGGTGGACAGCTCTGACTGTGTTACTCACTGGCAGCCAGTCTGCTTGTCCTTGTAACAACTGCATATAAAAACCTGCTGGCTCCTAGACTGCCAGCTTTGCTCTTGCATACCCAATTACACCAGCCCATCAGCTGAAGCCCCTGGTGCACCAGGCATTATCAGAGGTTCTCCAGAATCATGAGCACTCCAGGACCATCCGCAAGATACATTTATCCTTATCCTTCAGATGAGGAAACTGGCCTCAGGGAGGTCAAGAGGCTCCCCAAGGTACTGGACTAGTCCTACTAGAACTGGCATTTGAACCCAGACATGTTTGTCCTGAAGCTTCCTCTTACTCCATCCCCTCTCTGCAGCTGTGAAACCCAAGGTGGCTGTGGGGCTAAAATACGTTGGAGTGGGTGGCTCTAAATCCACCATAAATAGCATGGGTAGGTGGGTGTCAGGGTGGGAAGACCTGGAAATGAGGCTTCCTGTCATGCTGATATCCTTTTACAGAGGCCAAAGTAGCAACTGGACTTGTGTATCCTTGGGCATCCTCACCCTTTCCCAAGGCCACTCTTTCCTGCCATATCTGGCTAACGTATCGTAGGTGGTGTGGTGAGATAATCCCAAGTGCCCTCTAGTGGCTCATATTGTATGAAAGCCTGAAGTTCAGGCAGATATAGCTCAATGGAGACCAAAACTGGAGCTGCTCAAACAGGATCCAGTCTCTGCACCACAAAATTCAGCCTGGGATCCCATTCCTATGCATGTTTCCCTGTCTCAGATTCTCTTCATACATCTCCATTTGGTTCTATTTCTTGGTCCCTGTCTCTACCCATCTCTCCCTCAGCATAGTCTCTTCCTCCCTCAGTCTCTGTCCCTAAAGGGGGCCATACAGCAGGCAGATGAGCTGAAGAAACTAAGTAGGGTGGCATCTGAAACCTGTAAGCTGAGAGAGGACAGAGGCCAGAAAAGGTTGAGTCTAGCCAGGATGACCTGTAGGCCTGTTCTTGCTCCCAAGCTCTCCAGCAGAATGTGGGGCCTGCTGACCAAGCAGGAGCAGAAACAGCTGGAGCTCCATTCCAAGAGAAATGTTTCAGGTCATAGTTCTTGCTTTAAGGGGAATTAGATTCCAGGGCAGGGGCAAGAGAATGAAGTCCAAAGCAGGGCACGGGAGTCATGCTTTAATACTGAGACACCATCACAGCCATAGTAAAGGTCTAGCCCAATTACTTGCCGCCCTAGTAACTTCAAACATCCACCACCTCCATCCTCTCATACTTAGAGCAGATCCAAGATGAGAACACTTTAAAGCTTCCAGAATACTTTTATTGCCAGAATTGAGGTACATCCTGCTCAGACCCCATACAGAGCCCACCACTCAGGACAAAAGGAGACAGATGCTGGGTACAAATACAACAGCAAAAACCCAGCTCCACAAAAACCTTATGGGAGAGTGGCACAGACCAGCCACTGGCTTTCACTTCAACCCTGAGGCTGGACTTAAATCTCAGCCTCTGGCCAAGTACCCATATAGAGCCAATTGCCACTAACATAGGCTCAGACTCTCCACCCCTGCTATCATGGGGAGACCCACGCAGCATCCCTGCAGAAGACAGAAAAACCCACGGTACCTATGCTTCTGGCTCTCAGGGGCTCACTCCAATCTCTGGGTTTGTCCCTTCATAGGAAAAACCACTGACCTGCCTAGTGGGAGCAGATACTGGGCAGGAGCCCCACCACTTCTTAGCTGTGCCAGCCCAGCTTGGAGACCTAATGGCAGGGTGGCAGTGAGATTCACAAGAGGGCAGCTCAAGGCAGCCAGTTGCCTCAGAGTTCCCTTTCTTCACAGGTACTCAGAATGCCATGGCATTGGGCCCTGCTAAGGGAGTCAACTTTAATACTGGGACCCACAGTATAACCAGGGGCATCAGGGCTCCTGGTAGCCATCTGTTGCCCAATCCAGACCTGGGCTGCTACTGCAGGTGAGAGAGGTAGTGAATGCCCCAAGTCCTGGGAGCCATGGAAAATAAAACTGCCCCTGCCTGCAGGGGGTACCAGGCTGTCCACCAGTGAGGCCGCAGGTAAGCCAGCAGCTGCAGCCACCCCTGTCTAATAGCAGGCCTGTATGAGGCCAGTGTATGGGAAGGGTCACCTGAGGGTCAAAGAGCTCAGTATATTCCTCACAGGAAGTCCAGGACCCAGTGGGTGAGGGTGGAAAGCCCACAGGGATAAAGGGAATGCATGGCCCCTGAGCTGGGGATTGAGGCCAGGTGCCAATCAATCCACCCTGCAGATCCAGTCTTGAGTGACACCAATTCCACCACCAGCAGCCTTCTTTATATCAAGGGTCTTTTGAGTCCACACTCATTTATTCCTTGTTCACGGCCACAGAAGAAAGCAACAGTACTTCCCAGGGCAGATGCTTCATAGCCCAAGACCCAGGATCTTGAAGGATTGGTTCAAAACTCTGCTAATTTTATAATCCATAACAGCCTCAGAGGCCAAGAAAAGCCCTGTGGCCAACCCATCCAGCAGCCCTGCCTGGCACAGGACTCAGGGCCCAAGAAGCACACGTTTCAGATAGGCCAGAGTGGTGGCATTGGCCAGCATCTCAATGTGCTCGCTGCCTCGTATCTCTTGCAATAATACTTGGTGCTCCTGCTGTCTTTTCCAGGTCCGGCAATGCAGGGCACTTTCCAAGTTTACAGTGCCGTCGCCATCACCAAAGTAGATTTTAGGGTCGTGATCTGGGAAGCTCTCATAGTAGAAGGAGTCTGGTGTGGGAACGCCGGTGCCATAGAGGCAGTGCAGTGGCACACCAGGCGGCAGCATGGCTTCAACCAGCCCATCTGTGTTCTGCCGCATGAACCAGCCATCTTCAAAGCCAATGTCCTGGAAGAACCGGTGATAGTCCCGCAGTGTATAGTTGGTTGTGGGTGTGCGTACAAATACCTTCTCAGGTGACCAGGTGTGGCTGTAGGGCAGCAGCCAGCTGGTGGAGACTGCAGAGCGCTGCTGCTCCCGAATCTTCAGTGACTCGATGACGGGGATCCGGTTGTTGTCTCCTGCAGGGAGAGAGGCCAGTCAGTCGTGCTGAGGAACACAAGTTGGCTGGGCAGCAGGCTTAGCACAGGCCGTCAGACCAACCTCTAGCCAGTGGCCGGGTCAATACTGTTTTCCTTTATTTTTGCTACATTTGTGAAGCAGACATCCGAGCCTTGTTTTATTTCTTTTTTTGTTACCAGGGATCAAACTTGGGTCATTGCGCTTGCAAAGCAAGCGGTGGAAACACAGCTAAAGCCCCAGCCTTTGTTTTATTTCTTTTGCATTTCTTCACCAAGGATTTAGGTATCACATACCCTCAGGGTAATTTATTATGTTTCCTCACCCTAGGAGAAGCCTCTTCTGAAGGTATGCAGTTATCATCCCACCTCAGGTACTGGCCTATTTAAGGCAGATGAGCAGGGTCAAAGCCCAGAGGCATTGCCGTTTTTATATTTTATCACAGTGAATAGTATACATGTTTTCCTTTTCTTAGTTAGGCTCAGACCAGCATTTAGTCAGATGTCTCATTTCAGCTCCTGCCTGTGCATGACCTGGGCAGCCAGACCTGAAGGAGACAAGGCAGGAGGGGAGGCAGCAGTTCACACAGGAATGAGACCACTGGGGGGAGAGGGTGAGTGAGCTTAACCGGGATCAGGGTGGCTACCCATCACTCCACCCTGTATCTAAAATCAGGGAGGCCATGGGACCTCAGCTCTGCCTGTGGAAGGTTGGCTCTAGGACCTCTGAGGACAGGGAAGCCTTGGGAATATATGGACTTCCACCTCCCTAGCCCTCACTCCCACTTACGGACTACCAAGGCCGCAAATGTTTCCCAGCATCTAAGGCAAAGTCTAAGGGGACTCAAGCTCTGAAAGGGGATGGAGCCTGAACTCCATCGTGGCTCCCTGTCCAAACTCTGAGATCCATACTTGACAGAGGTGGTGGCTATGATGAATCATCACTGTAACTGAATGTCTGAGCCATGGGTTCACTGTTCAGTTGATTCAGGTCAATACTGGGAGCAGCACTTGGCCTGACCTGATCACAATGATCAGTTGACCAAGCAGGTCAGGTAGTGCCACTGATGGGAGAAAGCTCATGAGATGCTTGGCATGGCCTTGCCTCATGGCCCCCAAAGTCAACATCCACAAGGCACCTACCCAGTCCTACCAAAGGGCAGAAAGTTTCCCTCCACTCCATGGCTACAGCTGGGAGGTTCTTACACTGGTTTTTTTCTTGTTTTGTTTGAGACAAGGTCTCATTATGTAGTTCAGCGTGGCAGCCATGAAAAGGCAAGTGGACTGACTTGTCAGGAAGGGGGTGACTTTCCCAACTGCCAGGCAAGGAGGATCTGCACCTGCTTCCTCCCTGCATTGCCCACAGAGGTTCCCCCTGCCCAAGATGGAGGTGTAACTCATAAACAGGAAGTGGTAAATCAGCTTCCTTCTCTGGTGCAAAGGTGACAATGAAGGATGGCGGTAAGTGAGAATGAGAAAGTACCCCCAAAACATTGGGTAAAACCCAGTTCAGCCAGCTAGGCTGCACTGTGTGTGTGTGTGTGTGTGTGTGTGTGTGTGTGTGTGTGTACAAGCAAGTACCTCTGTGACCAAGAGTTATGCCATTCCATGTACAAGGCGTAAGAAACTTCCATTTGCTCAACAATTATCCAATGTATACTTTACAATACTTTCGCTTTTCTGTTTTAAGCTTTTTGTGAAAATCAGTCTTGCCATCCTCAGTCATTTCTACATTGTGAAAGGCAACCGAAAAGAAGCGGCAAGGATAGCGGCTGAATTTTATGGAATAACCCAAGGACAAGGTATGGTCGTGCTAACACTCTTCTCTCTTGAGTAGAGCTTATCACTTGATCTGTGAGCCAATAAAAACATCACATGTATGTTTTCTTTTTTTTTTGTTTTTTGTTTTTTGGTACCGGGGATTATACTCGGGTCCTCGCACTTGCCAGGCAGGCGGTGGAACCACTGAGCTAAATCCCTGGCCCGCAAAAATATTTTTTTAAAAATGGTAGTTCTGGAAAGAAGAGGGCTGACCCAGGGAAGAGATATGAAGGGTACTGGCCTGGCAAGATGAGGAAGAAAGGCATTTCTGGGACTGGTCACCATCCTGGGCAAGGTAGGTCTTACCTGAGGCCAGGACACGCAGGGTCTTGGCCACACCCCCCCAGGGGGCACCCAGTGACACAAAGGTATGGATATACTTGTCCTTCCAAGCTTGTGGCTGCTGTTGCAGAAAGTATAGCGTGTACATGTTGCCCATGCTGTGGGCAACCAGCACCACAGGGCCCCCATACAGCTGGTACATCTCCTCAACCATCTCTTGGAGGGCCAGGAAGTAGTCCATGTTTTCATCTGTAGGCAAGAGTCAGGCAGAGGTCAGGTGGGAAGGATCCTAGGGCCTGAACCACTGACTATTCTTCAGGCCAGACCCAGGTCTAGGGTGTGGGAGAGTGCTAAAACCCAAATGTGAACCTTCTGGTCCTCCCTTATCTTCCATTAAGGGAGGACAAGAGGATCCTTTTCCGATTCAGCAATATCTTCCCCCATGCCTTCAATGAGGATTGGGAAAGGACAGGACAAGAATGACTATTGGGCTGGAGACCAGGGGACTAGGGGTAGGGAGAGCCCAGGACCAGAGGAGAAGTCAAGGACTGTGGTGGCTGTGACCACCTTGTCTCATCTCTCAAGATCACAGGGAGGGAATGAATATGACTTCTTACTTGGGGCACGGCGCCAATCATAGGGGGCCCCTCGGACATCTTCACCTCGTGTGTAGCCCCAGCCCACAAGGCTGTCCACCATAGCATGGAAATAGGAACCTATAAACAGACACACACATGGTATTAGAAAAAGTAGAGCCAGTGCCAACCACCCACACCATGCCACCACAGGGAGGTCCCTAGAGGAGGGCCACAAGCATCTGTGCCCACATTGATCAGAGACAGCTCACAAGCTATCCCTGGATCTCTCAGGAACCCAAGGGAGTTCCTCCAACTCTAGGAGCCCAGCAAAGCCCACAACCCCATCCTGTGGAGACCTTGAGCAAGAGCTACATACCCACACTGCTTCTGCTAGGGTCCAGGAACTCCAATGAGAAAGTCTTCCCAAAGCCAGGGACACGCACATCCACACCATCAGGAAAGTGGGTGGTCCCAGATGTTCTGTTGTAAACTAGCCTGTCAGGATGGGATATCACAGCAGTGACCCAGAGGTGACACTGAGCTTGGTGTGTCCCACTACTGCTCTGTGACCTGAGTCATACACCCTTCTCATCCCCAGGCTTGATTATACATACAGTACTGTAAAAGAGAGACCAAAAAATAGCAAAACAGATTTATAAGCCCAAATAAAGACTGCTACCAAAGCTTACTCCTGACACTGAGCACAGGATCCTGTTAAGGCAAAATTCCGTTCTCTCCAGTGTTACATACTCCAGACTGAGGGTCTTAACCCATCAGCTATAAACTTCATATTTGTCTGCAGCAGACAATCCACCCCTGCAGACACCCATGGATCCAGACACTGCCAGCTACCAGACTGTATCCCAAGGCAAAGGAGAAGGTAAGCACAGCATACAAGAGAACCAGCCAGGGACCCTGCCCCAGGGCTTAAGCACTTGTGGCTGCTGTATAGATACATGCACAGGGCCCAGAGGAATAATGAAGGAAGGTGGAGACAGGAGAAAGGCCTTGTGTAGACCCAAGTGGGTACAGCTGGGTCTGACTTGCTCTTGACACTGGACTCATCAACCAGCCTCCTCTCAACCACACAATCCATGGAGGAAGGGAAATGAATTACACATGATCTTTTCAGTATCCTGGCACCATATCACCTGCTAACAACTTCAAGAGCCAGTAAATGACACATGGAATCCCAGCTACTCAGATCCCTAATTGCCCTTTGTATAACAAATTATCATAGACTTAGCTGCTTCTAACACCACACACGTTATCTCATAGTTGCTGTAGCTGCAGTGCACAACAGAACCAGACAAGAGGGACCACCCCCTAACTCGGGGCTAAGCACATAGCTGCTCCACCCTTCCATCTCAAGTGAGGAGTAAAAGATCCAGAGAAATTATGGGGATGGAGTAGGGGGAGAGCTGCTTCCAGGACAGGAACCCTGCTCTGTCCTTGCCTGACACCAAAGAGGCAAGTATGCCTAAAAACACCCAAAGTTCATGGTGGTCATCTTTCCACCCCCTCCCCAAGATCAGCCATATAAAGACTACTAGACTCCTAGCAATGACCCAAATAACAGGACCCGAAGACCTACTCTCTCCCATCTGTAGATTGCCCCAATGACCACCTAGAAAATACAGAAAACTGTCCTGGAAAGCCAAAGCAGCTCTGTGCTAGATGAGAATCTAAAGCTGGGCATGGTGGCACACACATGTAATTCTATTTACTAGGAAGGCTGGGGAAGGAGGATTGCAAATTTGAGGCCAGTCTGAACAACTTATTGCGAATCTATTGGCCAGGAGTTGTAATGTACCAGAAGACTAAGGCAGGAGGACTGCTGAGAGTTCAAGGCCAGCCTAAACTACATAGCAAGACCTTGTCTCAAAAAAATAACACAAAAGAAAAACAAACAACAAAAAAAACAAAAAGAGACTCATCTCAAATAAAATAAGCCAGGAGCTGTGATGAATGTCTGTAATCCCAGTACTTTCGAGGCTGAAGCAGAAGGATCACAAGTTTGGGCCCCACCAAGGCAATTCAGCAAGACCTTGTCTCAAAATAAAACATAAAATTTTAAAAGACTGGGATATAGCTCAGTGCAAAGACTCTAGATTCAATTCCCAGTACCATAACGAATGGATGAATGAAGCTGGGGATGCAGCTCAGAGGTATAATGCGTATGGGGCATGTGCAAGGTCCTGGGTTTCATCCCCAGTATGAAAGTGGGGAGGGGAAGAGAGGGAGAAAGGAAGAAAAAAATAGGAAGGAAAGAAGAAGGAGGAAGAGAGGGAGACAGAGGGAGAGGGAAGGAAGAAGGGAGGAAGGGAAAGAGAAAAAGCTAAATGATCCAGAGGACTATTGACGGCAGGCAAGCCCTTCTCAGTATCAGCCCACACCTCAAACTGGCAGTACCTGAGGCCATGTCTCCAGCACAAAAATAGAAATGCAGCTCAACAATCCAGAAATAACTTGATCACACACTGAGGAAGAAAGAGTCAATAAAGCAGGCAACACAAACAACAGGGAAGGGCAGGGTACCTCAAGAACCAACCAGGTGGTCTCTGGCAAAACTTTAAAAGTCAGGCATGGTGGGGCACACCTGCCATCCCAGCACATAGAGGCTGAGTCAGGAGGATCAACTGTGAGTTCCAGGCCTGCCTGAACTACATAGAGACCCTGTCTCAAAAAACCAAACCAAACAAAAAACAACAACAAAAACCTTTAATTCACAAAGCTCCACTGAACTCAAATATATACTGTCATTACACACCCAGTAAATTCTCCGTTCTCTTGATATAAAGATAAAACAGAGATACAGAGAATATAATCTCTCCTTTTAGGGAACTCAGTGTGGGACAGTTACACAATGCTAGGTCTGAATTCTGATTCCAACACTTTGCTCAATGGCTGTAGGCAATCTGTAACTTCTTTGAGCTTCCTGATTTCCTTTTAAGTTATTTTGAAGTGCTTAGTCTTTTTTGAAGTGCTGGGGATCAAACTCAGGTCCTTGGGCATGCCAGATTAGCACTTAAACTACACTCTAGACTCTGTAAAGCAGACTTAAAAACAACATTTGTGGACCAGGGATTTAGTTGAGTGGTTCCACCACCTGCCTTGCAAGCGCAAGGTGCCAAGTTCAATCCTGGGTAATCCCCCCCAACAAAAAAAGCACTGAACAAACTAAAAGAAAAACAGCACTTGTGTCACCAGAGTCTGGCAAGACAAAAAATGAAAGAAAGTAGTCATGTGTCACTTGGGAAACCTTCCATGAAATGCATCACTTGGCAGTTTTATTGTTGTATGAACATCAGACTATACTTAAACCAGACAGTATAGGTCAATTATGTGGCCTCTTGATGTAATCATAAGACACAGTAAACACAAGATGTATGAGACTGCTGCTGGTGTGACATGGCATATGGTTTTACAGTAACCCTTTTTGTTACCAGGGATTGAACTCGGGTCCTTATGCTTGCAAGGCAAGAGGTGGAACCACTGAGCTAAATCCCCAGCCCTCACAGTAAACCTTTTTTTTATGAGTCTACTAATTAACAATGAAAAGTATAGTATAGCAAATACATTAACAGTAACAGTCATTTATTATTAACAAGGTTTTTTCCTGTTATCAAGTATGTTTGTTATTTATACCAGCATCACATAAATATGTTTCACTATCAGGTTAGATAGCTGCAACACTGTCACTAGCTAATAGAAGTTTTTCAGCTCCAAAATACTCTTTAACTTTTCTTTTGTGATACTAGGGATTAAACTCAGGGCCTTCACACTGAGCTACATCCCCAGCTCTTTATATTTTTTAAGTTTTAGGGCCGGGGATGTAGCTCAGTGGTGCCACTGCCTGCCTCACAACTGCAAGGTCCTAAGTTCGATCCCCCATGCCAAAAAATAAAAAATATTTTATTTTGAGACAGGCCCTCATTAAGTCCCTAATTTTCCCAGGTTGGGCACAAACCTGTGATCCTATTTCAGCCTCCCAGAGTGCTGGGATAACAGGCATGCACCACCACATCTGGTTTTCCATTTTTTTGTTTTGGTATCAGGGATTGAACTCAGGACTTTGCGCTTGGCAAGGCAGGTGGCCAAACAACTGAGCTAAATCCCTGGCCTTTCCGTTATTGTATATGCAGTCCATTGTTGACTAAAATGTCACTATGCAGCACATGACTATAAAGTACACAGTGTCTATATTTAATTTGATAGAATCATCCATATAAACACAGGTTGCCATCTGAAAAGTGTTAAAAGAAACTTGCTTATAGCTGGGCATGGTGGCGCATGCCTGATATCCCAGCATTCAGAGGCTGAGGCAGGAGTACTGCAGAGTTCAAGGCCAGCCTGAGCTACCTAATGAATTCAAGGTCAGCCTGAACTACACAGTGAAAACCTGTGTCAAAAAAAGAAAAGAACCATACGTGTGTCCTGGGAAAAGGAGAGATTTCACAAAGGGATTGGAGGCAAAATTTAAAGGGCAGGGCCAGGCTGGGGATTTGGTTCAGTAGTTCTGCCGCCTGCCTTGTAAACGCAAGGTGCTGAGTTCAATCCCTGGTACAAAAAAAAAAAAAAAAAAAAAAAAAAAGTAATTTTTTTGGGATTTCGTATAAGATGTGGACTTCACTGGTGAAAAAAAAAAAAAAAAAAAAAAAAAAAAGATGTAGATTCCTTATGGCAAGAATAGTGTGCAAAGACATGGAGGCATGGTACATCCCAGAAACAGCAAGCTGCTGGAAAAACAAGGGTGGACTGAGGCTATGGATAGGGGTTGAGGGACAGAAAGTATAAGGCTCATGGGCCAAGGACTGAACTGGAGGGGAGGGCCAAGAACGGCAGAAAGAGGAAGAAAGTTCTGCTTGGAATGCAGAGATGCTCCCAACCAGATCAGATCAGACTGAAGGCCTGGGGAGGGAGGGAGCAGGGTCACTGACCTGATGAAACAGGAATGAAAAGGGAACAGACTCTGGAAGCCCCTCTGGCCCCCATCTGCATGCCCCAGCCCCCACCTGATATTGTCGACCCAGCAGTCAATGATGACCGGAAGCAGGAGTTCAAGGTTCAGCCAGAGCGTGAAGTAGCTGTCGGTCCTTTTGGAGCAAAGGTAGTGCACAACCGTCGGCTTGTCCAGCTTTGCTTCCAGCTGGTTACCCAAATCACCAGGTACTGCAGGAGGACAAAGGACACATGTGAGTGATGGGCCTGGCAGGTAGAGATCCCCAAGAACCCTAAAGTCCTCAGAAGATTCCCCAGCCATTAGTACCATGGCAGACCTTGCAGTTCCGCTCTGCAAGTTAAAACTTCCAGGGGCCAGAAAAATGAGAGTAGGGCCCCTGACACAGAAGCCAGGGTACCATCTTCAGGAAGAAAAGCTGCTAATGCTGCAAGGCACAGAGTAATGAGAAGGTAGCCTGCGATCACATACTCTGCTGGGGCCTTGGGAGAGCCTGGTGTGTTTTAGGGGAGGTCCCAAACACTCTCCCCAACTCCAGACAAAATACTCCAATACTGCTGGGCATGGTTGCACACACCTGTAACCCCAGCACTCAGGAGGCTGATGCAGAAGGATTGCCATAAATTCGAGGCCAGCCTGGGCCACACAGAGAACTCAAGGCCAGCCTGAACTGCACAGGAAGACCCTGTCTCAAAAAACAAATAAGGAAAAAAAAAAAAACCAAAAACACCCCACTACCACCATATCTTTACTGGAACATGGTCCTGGGGCCATTGAGATTAATGGAAGGGGGTTCAGGATGAGGCTACTTTCCCAGGCTGGGCTTCATTTTACCTGTCAAGTAAGATACCGGAATCAAACCTTCACAAATACAAATACAGTTTCTTAAGTAAGCAGACCCAGAAGAGAGTTCTGACTAGAACAGGCTTGGAAAATGCTTCTGGGTTTCCCAGAACCCCTAAAGTCTATCCAGAACTTCAGCCCTATCGTTAGATACAAACTTTCAAGGATGAAACCTAACCATCCTCAAGGATTAAGACAGCCATTAAAGGCTACAAAAATAAATGAACAAACAAACATACAAGGCTTTATTTACCCTGAGAAAGGAAGTGGGAAACATGACAGAGCAGTGGGCCAATGAACCAGCCAGAATTGAATCCAGAGAAAGTATCCTTGGACAGGTTTGTGGGAGGAAGACCATGAAGAAAAACACTGTTGAGAGAAGCTTACATGGTACCTGCTGGCTTACCAAGGTCCCTACTCCTTGCTAAAGAGCTCAGTAAACTTCCAGAGGACTGATTATCAGGAGGGCCCCAGCGTGGTTGACAAGCCTGTGTTAGATATGGCTACCCTGAAGTAGCACCTCATGCTGCCAGTCCTGGAGGGGTGGGTGTGAAGAGATTCCAAGGAAGACTTGACCCCATCCCAGGTAACACACACAGAGCCCTGGGGCCCTGTGACACTCAAACCCATCCCCACTGCTTTACTGCTCAGCATTCAAACCCCTTCACAGTCTATTTATCCCATTAACCTTTCAGGCACACCTGCCCCCACAAGCCATGCTCCAGATACTTCACAGACACAGCACCACTTAAGATCCACAATCACTTAGTGAACAGCTAGTGCTAGGATCTCCCAGGCATTCACTGGACATTGACTGTGAACACAGCCCAGCACAGGGCATGCCTTCTGTGAGCACCAGGGTGACACAGGAAGCAAGTGCACCACCTACCCTCACCTTCCTTCATGATGTGAAGGGCAGAGACTGGGAGTCCCCAGCATGATAGCCTCTGGATGACTTGTCAATACATCGGGCAGATTACTATCTCCAACAAAGGGGAAATAGATTAAAGAGGAAGTCACAAGGTCTGCTTTGCCAGATACCCTCATCCCGTCAGGCTATGTGGCCACTAAAATAACAGTGGTCACTTCCTAAGACCCTCTATCAGGAACTAGGACAAAAGCCAGGCATGGATCTTTTACCTCATATAACCTTGGAAGGGTACAAATTTACCCCCACTTAATGAGCAAACAGGCTGGGAGAATTGGGAATGGGTTGCCTACCATCCCCTCCCCCTCCCAGGGTTACTTGTGGCTTTTGCCTTTTTCAACAACTCAGAACCTACCACGAAAGGATTTTTTTTTTTTTTTGAGACAGGGCCTTAATGAGTAGTTCAGGCTGGTCTTGAACTCACTATGTAGCATAAGGTGGTCTCTAAATCACAGTAATTCTCCTGCCTCAGCCTTCAGAGTGCTGGGATTACAGGTGTGCACCTTTATGCCTAGCACCATAAAGGATTTTGATCCTCAGGATGAGAAACCTGCTCTGTGCCTAGGAGCAGCTTATCCATTGCCCACCAGGAAGTCTCCCTGAGTTCATATCCGAAACCTAACTCCAGAGAAGATGGCCAGGTAAGGATTCCAGCTGCTCAGGCTCTTCTGTTGCAACCTAGGATAAGCAAGGACTGGATGAATTAATGAGTACATTTAGACCAATCCAGGTAAAAAGGCTGTGTAATGTCCTTTTCCCAGTGTCACAACTCTCATACTTAGAACTTCTCAGGCCCACACATGGCTTCTTGTGACCCTTCCAGGGTAAAGTCCAAATGACCCAAGGAATCACAAGCTCAGCACAATTCACCCCTCACCTCACTCCACTCCAGCCAGCCAGAACTGTTCACCTCTCTCCTAATATACAGTTCCCTGTCTGACCTCAGTTTCAGCATACTCCGGGAAACCCTCTTTGACATCCACTCAACTACACTGGGTCAGCGGATTCTCTGTTTCCCCAGCACAGACTTTGTCTCTGAGGGTCACTGTTAGGTTTAATCTGGAAGCTTGGAGCAGCAAGGCTAAGTCTGTACATATTCAGAGTAAACCTAGGCCCTGAATCCCTCTTGATCATTCATTTCTTTGCCTGGGGCTGGCCAGGACCACCTTGCCAGCTGTTTACCCTGCCCTTCTGTGGTACGCATCATCCCTATTTAAATATTCTCAACAGGGCAATGGGGATTTAGTTCAGTGATACCGCACCTGCCTTGCAAGTGCACCTGCCTTGCAAGCGCAAGGTCCGGAGTTCAATCCCCGGTACCAAAAAATAAATAAATAAATAAAATTCCCAACAGAAGCGGGCCAGGGATTTAGCACAATTGCCTCACAAGTGCAAGGTCCTGAGTTCGATCCCCTGTACCAAAAAAAAAAAAAAAAAAAAAAAAAAAAAAAAAAAAAAAAAAAAAAAAAAAAACATGGGAGCCAGGGATTTAGCTCACTGGCATACACACTGCCTACCTAGCAAGTGCAAGGTCCTGAGTTTGATCCGCAGTACCAAAAATACATGAAGGGAGGGTTTGTCATGTTTCAATAGACTCAGTATGTAACATATACCTCAATGTCTCTGTTCTCAGGAGTGGTTGTCTACCAACACTCCAGCTCTAAATGAGACAGCACCTAAGACTCCCCAGACAGAAGTCTCACCCTGGTCCATCAGCACAAGTAAGCACTGTCTTCCTGCACAGATGCCAGGTCTGGGACCAAGGAGGGATTGGGCAGGGGAGGTTACTTAGCCCCGGCATAGTTTGCTCTAATTAGGCTTGGAAGGGATGAAAAAAATATGCCTATTTCTTGACACCTGTTATGGTTGTTGTCCCAACACTCTCCCCTGTCTTTAGCCATCCTTTTTTTTTGGTAGATCTCCTCCCTCAGGCTCCTAAATTGAGGGTGAGGAGGAATGAAGTTGGTGGCCAGCTTTGGGGGAACTACCAATCCCTTCCCCCAAAGAGCTTGCTTCCAAGTAATGCTCTCTAAAACACGGAAGGAAACATAGGTCTGGAAGTGTAGAGGATAGGATGATAGCCTCCTAGATAGGCCCAGATCAATGTGGAGGCTTCTCTGAGGCCTCCCTGCCCACCCCTATCAATCCTCCGGGGTGGGGCTGACTGGCCTCAGTCTTTCCAGCTAAAAATGTGGTTGTGGTGAGGCATAGCTTGATATAAAAAGGTGGAGTGGAGGCTGGGTGGAGAGGGGCACACCTATAATCCCAGCACTCTTGGAGGCTGAGGCAGGAGGATGGCAGGGAGTGGCTACATAGTGAATTCAAGGAGCCTGACTACATACATATGGGACCCTGTCTAAAAAAACTAGAAAGACAGGAAGGAAGGAAGGTAGATACGTAGGTAGGTGAAGATAACCAGAAGGTACCTCTTCCATTTTTTTACAAGGGTCAGGTGGCAGGCTGACCACACCCATGCTCAGCATGGGGTGAGGTGGATGGACAGACCCAGGTGACAAGACAGACATCAAGACACTCCTCCATTCCGTGCTTAAAACAGATGCAGACGAGAAGACAGCCCTTCCCTGCTCCCGGTCCTCTCGGACCGACCCACCACGAGACGCGCCCCTCACCGAGCACCACTGGGGGGTGACGCTGGACGGAGAGCGCAGGGTCCGCGAGCAGCATTAGTAGCAGCAGAAGAAACATGAGGCCACTCGGGGGGCACGGCCACGCAGCAGGGGGAGAGGCGGCTGTCCGTGGCGTGAGACCGCTGGGGCTGCAGGTCGGACGTGCGGGTTTACAGCTCCCGGCTTGCGCCTAGGCCAGGGTGACGGCGACGTGCTTTTAACCCCACCACCAGCTCCCCTCAGCCGCTCGGGGCGGTCCCTCCAATTAAGACCCGCCTCCCGTACTCGGCCTGCCAATAGGGTCTCGCCCCCGGCGCGTCTCTCCGGTCTGAGCTCATCCTTCCCCCGCCCTTGCCCACTTCGGGGCCTGCTTCCAGATTCGCGTTGCACGCCGAGCATATCGATCGGCAGATGCTGGCGAGTCCTGGCTCCTGGCTCTCAGCTGGGCTCCCGAGCTCACGCCCGCTGTGTTCCCAAACAAGCCCCTTGGTACTCGAGGTCCGAACTGCGCAGTTTTCACTCCCGATTCCTGGCGCCTCCCTGACCCGGAGGATCGGATACTGACCTGGCGAAGAAAGGAATACGGGGACTGAGATAGCCATGGCTGAGTGACCCTTGTCAAAGCAAAACGAAGCGTGGCCTGGGCAATCACTGGGCCGTGGTTGACCAACACTTGGCCGGCACCTTGTGGGACCCCTATATCTGTCCCCCGAGGGCCTCTAGGTTCAGCCAATCCCCTACACACTGCCTTGAAGTTAGATGCAAGTTACCCTGGAACTGGCACTGCAGAATGGAACTTCAAATGTTGAATTTG